CAAAACAAAAAACAAAAAAAAATTACGTACTTTCTTAAAAAATATATGATTATACTTTTGAAGGTTAGAGAAAATAACTTACATACTTTCTTAAGAAATTAAAAACCCACCAAGCATCATAAGTACAATAAAGTTACCTTCTTAAAAATATCTAGGATGGTTTCTCTCACATAAACAGAATTGAAGATGCTTACGTTTCTTAGCTTATGTGGGGATCCTTAACAAGGAGACGGAGGAAGTCTTCGACTGACACGATGTTAGCTTTCAATAGCTTCTTGTGTAGGACACCATCTTTTGCTATTCTATCCAGTCTCCAGACATCATCGTGTAAAGCTGGTGGATAATGTTTCTTGTCTACTGCAAAACATTGCCAAAAGAAATGAAGAATTTCAGATGATAGAGCTGAGTTAATAGTAACTAACACTCTCTACTTATCAAAACAATCCATAAGTTAAAAAAAACTCACATTCTCCACTACGATCTTTGACAGCAAAAGGTTCTGTTTTGGCTTCACGAATGTGATAGCTATCACCATTCCCTGGAGCCGCCTTAACACCAAGCCTAAAGTTTCTGCTCCTAATCCAACTCGAGTTGTCGGTAAAAGTTAACCCTCCTAAAGTTCCCACACCTTCTTTAAGGATCACATATGTGTCACCTGTCAAGATTGGGCGTTTCCCTTCTCGTTCTTTCACTTCAAAGTTGTCAAAGTGCTCTCTCGTCCAATCTTCATTGTCCTCATCATTGAAGTCTCCCTCTAGCATGACAACAGTCAGCTTTGAAGCAGATTCTTCTCCTGTTTGGACTACATTTCCTGTGATTACATCTATAAGAACCACATGAATGGATGAGCCTCTCTCTCCCTCAACTTTTCCACCAGTGAATAAGTGAGGAGGCATTCGATTCCTAAAGTGAAGTTGCAGGTTTCTTCCATCGCGGCCTTGGATACTCTTTGGTTCCGGTGACCTGAAGATTCCATGTTAGTTTTAACAGAAACTCAACCACCACAAATATCACACAATCATTTCAAGAGGAAAAGGTATAACTGGAGAAAATACATCGACGTTAACTTCACATTTCCCAACCTTGATAAGGCTCGACATCAAACCTTAGCTGCCCACTTAAAGTATCAATTCAGTTTTGCTATCTCAGTCAAGGCCAACCCTTTCTTTAGGTATATTCAGATCCAAGAACAAAACAAAGAAAAGCTACATATATAGAGAACGTGGGAGATAAGACTTTTGCCTTGAGAATTAAGCGATTCCCATGAGCTGAAAATGAATCAAAAACAAACAAACGCAAATTCTTTTATCAATATCTCGAGAGAACCCAGAATCATAGGAACCCACAATCGCCATGACTTTTCTCAAACAATGTATCAATATTAAATTTCAACTGACTTTTAAAGAGAGCTTAAAGCAAATATGGTATTCAATAGAACAAAACCTTAAAGAAAGATTCCAGTTAATGAAACAGCCATTGAAACATTTAAACTAAATCTCTCATCTTCTAAAAACACAAAGATGAGGATGCAGAAGAACAAAAAATTGGCTTACGGCATTTGGACTGCGAGGAAATCAATTATAGTTTCGAAGCGACATCTTCGAGAAAAAAGAACAACAACAAAACATCCGATGATTGCCTTCTCCTTAGTTGGAATACTCGGAATCGGATGATAGCAAGCAGAGATTTGAATTTTTGTTCGCTAAACCCTAGACGGAGAAGATAAGAGGCGCAGAGAGGTGAATGTTTTTTTTTTCTTTGATGAAGAGCGAAAGAAAGAAAGGGAAGAGGAATTTATTCTAGTCGGAGTTGTAACGGTGACAGATGAAAAGTCGAGGAGAAGAAAGAAAGGGAAGAGGCGCTGCGTGGATCTGAATTATATTTTATTACATGTCACAAAGAAGTGTTTTCATTGACTGATTATTTATGCTCATGTGTCATGCCCTAGAGCTCAGAAAATCTGCCCCTTGCTATTTTATCGTTTTGAATTTGAGCGATGAGCTACTTTGAGCTATTTTATACACTCCTTCGTTTTTTTGGTTTGATACTCTAGAGTTTTCATATCTATCAAGACAAC